CTGGGATCATGACCTGAGCCGAAATCAAGAGTCGGACGCTCAACGAACTGAGCCACCCAGGCGCCCCCGTGTCTTTATTTTTAATTAAAGCCTGTGACCCTAGGAAAATCAGGACTCGTTTCTACATGATATGAGAGTTTTATACGCCACGGTCTCAGGGGTCTTTTTAGGAAATTGGAAGCAAGGGGGAATCGCGTATTTTTCAAAGTTTCCCTGCTTCTGCAAGCTGCTGGGCCAGGGGCTTTTTCTGCAAAGCGGGAAGAGAGACGCTGCATCGCAGCCTCGTTTGTCTAATGGCTCCAGTTGGCGGGGCCAGGGGACATGGTCGGGGTGGGGTGTGAAGTAAACTCCCGGGGACCCGATGCAGTGTGGGGAAGGTAGGACAATCGGGGCGCTTTTATTGCACAGAGTATTAGGGCGCAGCCCCAAAGCTCTCACACCGTCGCCCTGTGTTGCAGGAGAGGCCTCTCGTCCAGATCTCTGCCTTCTGCAGCACCCACTGGGATGCCATGGGGTTAGAAGACAGCGTGTCAAGATGCTTCGAGAAGTGTGTCATTGAAGCAGTGAGCTTGGCCTGCCAGGTGAACAGCCTCTCACCGCGTGGGAAACGCGTTTGGGTTCACGGCGGTCCTCTGACATCATCAGCTCGGGGCCGTTCAGTGCCCCCTGGTTCTGAGCCCCGGCTGCCAGTGCAAACGTGGGCACCGGGCATCCCCCTTCTAGCCTAGAGGGAGGGTCCTGAAATTCAGTACCCTTGACCCCGAGAGGCCGCTCAGCCTCCTGCTGCCACAGCTAACGCACCGCTCACGGGTGACCCTGAATCAAGCAATCCAGTGCTGCACCTGTACGTCCTTCTCATTGCTGCTGGATTGTCTTCTGTTTGTTTTGTTTTTTTGTTTTTAATTTTTTTTTTTGTAAGTTTATTTATTTTGAGAGAGAGAGAGAGCGTGCGCGCGAGCAGGGGAGGGGCAGAGAGAAGAGAGAGAGAATCCCAAGCAGGCTCCATGCTGTCAGCACAAATCCTGATGTGGGGCTCGAACCCACAAACCATGAGATCATGACCTGAGCTGAAACCAAGAGCCGGATGCTTAACCGACTGAGCCAGCCAGGCGCCCCGGCTGCTGCTGGCTGGTTTTACCACCTGCTCACACTTGCTTAGCTCGTGTGCAGTAAGAGACCCCAAAGGCTGGCAGAACATTTATGGAAGAAGACAATGAGTTTGGAAAGATTCTGTCAGCTCACGTAGGGTTTTTCCTGCAAAGTGGGAAGAGATGCTGCCCCACCTCGCCCCTTCGGAACAGCCTCTCCCACTCTGTGTGTGGGTGAGCTTGGGGCTTTCTGTACATAAAATCACATCGTATGCAGAGAGAAATGGTTTTACTTTTTCCTTTGCAATCTGGATGCCTTATATCTTGTTCTCCCTTCATTGGTGTGATTAGAGCCCCCAGTGCAGACGTGCCTTACTTCTCATCTCAGTGGGGACGCCCTCAGTCTTGTGCCTCTGAGCGTGTCGTCGGCTGTGGACTTTTCAGAGACGCCTTTCGTCAGCTTGAGGGCATTCCTTCTAGTCGAGAGTTTTTATCGTGGAAAGGCATTGGATGTCTGAACGCTTTCTGTGTCTGCTGAGACAACTGTGCGATTTGTTTTCTCTGGATACGATGTATCACATTAACAAATGTTCCGTGTTATGGGGCAACTGGGTGGCTCAGTTGGTTGAGTGTCCCACTTAAGCTCAGGTCATGGTCTCCCCATTCGTGAGTTTGAGCCCCGTATGGGGCTTTGCACTGACGGCTCAGAGCCTGCTTGGGATTCTCTCTCTCTGCCTCTCTCTCTCTCTCTCTCTCTCTCTCATTCAAAATAAATAAACTTACAAAAAAAAGCACAGATCTTTGGGGCACCTGTGTGGCTCAGTCGATTAAGCCTCTGAATCTTGATTTCAGCCTCGGGTTATAATCTCATGGTTGGGGAGTTCAAGCCCCACATCTGGCTCTGTGCTGATATCCCAGACCCTGCTTGGGATTCTCTCTCTCTCTCCCTTTCTGCCCCTCCCCTGCTTGCTCTCGCTCTCTCGCTCTCAAAAGTAAATAAAACTTAAAAAAAAAAAACACGAAAACAGGGGCGCCTGGGTGGCTTAGTTATTTGAGCATCCGATTTCAGCTCAGGTCATGAACTCGCGGTTTGTGAGTTCTAGCCCCATGTCGGGCTCTGTGCTGACAGCTCGGAGCCTGGAGCCTGCTTTGGATTCTGTGTCACCCTCTCTCTCTGCCCCTCCCTCGCTCATGCTCTCTCTCTGTCTCTCAAAAATAAATAAACATTAAAAATGTTCTGTGTTAAACCAACCTTTCACCCCCGGGATAAACCCCACCTGGTCATGGTGTATAATCCTTTTTATATGTTGTTGGATACGGCTTTGCTTCATCCTTTTAAATATCAAAAAGTAGCTATTGTAAACGAATCCCTGCTTTTTTTCCCAATTACCGAAACTTTTTGTAAAAACTTTGAACCTGAAGAGGGAGGATGTTCCATCTCTCTGTGGGGAATCGGAAGGAGGATTACAAAGTACGTGCTGAACGCATTACAGTTGGGAATCATGGTTTAGGACAGGGTATGCGTATTAACAGCTTTCTCATACTACGTTTGGCATCCTTTCTGGGAAGTCCAGGAAACCCGCAGCAGGCCGCCGTGAGCCCGAGGAAACGGGTTGTGCCGTGCAGGTGCATCTGTGTGTATTTTTTGCCTCTGTTTCTGCGTCTCTGAGGTTTGTCAGGTGAGGACACGGCATGCAGGGAAACAGAAATGCCCTAAGAAGAGGGAAGTATTTTCTTCTCTTGCTTTTTTTGAGGCTTTGTAAACCACAGAGGATTTCTGGAATGCTATTGAATGAGCGGTTTATTTACATCCCTCGAAGGCAAACCCTCCCGAAAAACCTGCCGCATTTCCCTCTCTTTGTTCAGTCTCAGACCAGCATTCTTGAGAGAATCTCCCATCACGACCTGCAGAAATTTGGCAGTCTTGTGTCGGCCGTGATCACCAAGTCCTGGCCAAGGAGCAACGGGCAAGCCGTGGATGACATGGATGGGGTGTTAACGCACCTGCTCACGTGGCCGGACATCAAGCATCTCTTCAAGTTATACGGTATGTCCGTGGGGGGTGCAGGTGTGTCTGTCCCTTGTGCTTGTGTCTTCCTGAGCCCCGGGGTGGGGGACAGAGTATTAGACCTGATACTCGGGCGGGTTGATGTTCGGCCAGGGAAGCAGATGGGAGGGACGGGAGGGGCGGGAGGGAGGACCCAGGAGGATCCAGGGTATCCTGCTCTGTGGCCCCCATTCCCTGGGTGCCTGCCATGCCCCAGCTTCACTGCCAGCATAGGGTCCTTGAAACAGTCCCGAAAGATCCCCGTTCTTCAGGCGAGGAAGCCGAGGCGGGGGGCTCGTAGTGTGACTCACCCGAGGTCTCAAACATAAATACCAAGAACTAAAGTCCAAACCCAAGTGTGTCTGGCTCTAAAAACCACTCTCTGTTGTTCTGAGATCAGCGTCCACGTCGAAGCCGATGCTGACGACCTTTCACAACAAAATAAATACCGTCTGTTCCTTTGCCGCCACCCCCCCCCCACGCCCCGGGTGTTCCGTGGTCAGAGAGGGGGAGATACGTATTGCCCAAAAAACGTCGTATTCAAGTTTACGTATAAGTCATTAGGTTCAGATATAGGGCAAGGGCACTGGATTTGGGACAAAAAAAATCCCAATTGGAGGATTCAGAGTCTCTGTTACATCAGAGTCTTGCCTGTCAGTGCTGTTGTGTGCATAAAACGAGGTCGTTGATGGGGGCATGGGTGGTTTCATGAGCCTTGTTAAAAGCTACTCACTCGGAAAGATTTCATTTGTGTCTTTTAAAATTAATGGACGCTTTTAGGGGCGCCTGGGTGGCTCAGTCGGTTAAGCATCTGACCTTGGCTCAGGTCACGATCTTACGGTTTATGAATTCGAGCCCCGTGTCGGGCTCTGTGCTGACAACTCGGAGTCTGGAGTTGCTTTGGTTTCTGTGTCTCCCTCTCTCTCTGCCCCTCCCCTGCTTGTGCTGTCTCTCTCTCTCTCTCTCTCTCTCTCTCTCTCTCTCTCAAAAATAAAGATTAAAAAAATAATTAATAATAATTAAAAAAACTAAAACTAGGGGCGCCTGGGTGGCGCAGTTGGTTAAGCGTCCAACTTCAGCCAGGTCACGATCTCGCGGTCCGTGAGTTCGAGCCCCGCGTCAGGCTCTGGGCTGATGGCTCGGAGCCTGGAGCCTGTTTCCGATTCTGTGTCTCCCTCTCTCTCTGCTCCTCCCCCGTTCATGCTCTGTCTCTCTCTGTCCCAAAAATAAATAAACGTTGAAAAACTAAAACTAAACATAAAGTAAAAATTCTGTCTTCTCACTTGATCTTAAAATTCAAATTCCCATTTTTGCAAGAGAGCCAACCTGTGCAGAATATCAAACCCTCACATTGATGTGTCTCCGCAAAAACACCCCCTGCAAACCCTCCGGGTCACCCTCGCTGGGCACCCGCGCGTCCCTGGTGCAGGCCACTGTTCCGCTGCACGGATTCTCACGACGCGGGGCTTAAAGGAGACAGTAGTTCCAGAACAACCCTCAGCGTGCTGAAGGGGGCTCAGGTTTTAAAAGCCAGAGAAGTGCCGCTCTCCTCTCCTGCCATGGCGGGAGTCACCTTTACGAGCAAGGTCGTTTGGGAAGCCTTCCAGAAAGCAGAATTGGGCTAAGGGAGAGACGCTTCTGGAGACACAGGGTGACCTTTGCTGGTCTCGCGTGCAGGTGGGGGCAGAATAGCAAGGAGGCCGCGGGGCAGCGCCGTGTCGTGCAGGGGCGGGGGGCGGGGGGCAGGAGCAGGCGCCCGCTCCTTTAACTCTGTTCTCACCCTGCTCAGAAACCGATGAGCAGGTGCTAGCCAACATGACAGAGGACGGCAAGAAGCTGTTGGCCACCGCCGACTCCGTGTTCACGAAAGTTACCGAGGACCTCCTGGATGGCACTGTCCTGGTTGGACACTTGGAGCTCATCATGAAGCACACCAATCAGTTTCTCGACATCTGTCAGTTAAGTGAGTGTCAGCGGGACCAGACTTGAGGTTCCTGGACAGGGACCGCGGGTGTCCGCGTATTTTGTAGAGGGGCGACCTACATCCTCCTACGATGAGGGGCTCTTCCTGTCGGTCAGTGGAGAGGGGACGGTTTCTAATCCTCAGGAAAATGGTGGGGAAGTGATAAAAGAATGGGCCGGTAAGATCGCCCTGTTTCTCTCCACGAGGCTGGGCCCGTGGGCGTGTGGGCAGCGTGGCTGTGCACGTAGCAGCCGCCGCGTCCCTCCCCGCGGCCGTGACCTCAGAGCATCCTCAAAGGGAGCTGGCAGAGGGGCGCCCGGGTGGCTCAGTCGGTTGGGCGTCCGACTTCGGCTCGGGTCATGATCTCACTGCTCGTGGGTTCGAGCCCCGCGTGGGGCTCTGGGCCGACAGCTCGGAGCCTGGAACCTGCTTCAGATTCTGTGCCTCCCTCTCTCTGCCCCTCCCCCGTTCATGCTCTGTCTCTCTCTTGTCTCAAAAAATAAATAAACGTTAAAAACAAATCTAAAAGAGAAAGGGTTAGGGTTAGAGGGTTTTCGCGGAAAAGGATACTCTTGCTTCTCCTACTGGGCTCCTCTCGTTTTCCAGAGAGAAAGTGCCTTTCACCCCAAGAGAAGAAGCAGAGTGTACAGGAAGTGTTGGCGTGGAGGAAGGAGGAGCTCAAGTTTCTGAAGCAAGAGAAGAAATGCGTCCACAGTCTTCTGAAGCTGTGCGGGGAGGTGAAGCACCTGGTGAAAGGTGACAGTCCGAGGAGCCCACGTGGACCAAATCGAGGGTCCCCGGGGCAGGGGAGGGGGGGAGGGTCCGAGGGCACCATCCACACATGTCACACAGCAGTGTCTACCTTGGGGGGGAGGCATTTCGTGACGTGTCCATTTTTAACCGCCTCACACGGGCCACCTTGGTCGTTTCGCTGTTTACCGCTGTGCCTCCGCATGACCTGCCTGAATACCCACTCGCTGCCCTGGTCTCCCGGGCCCGAGCGTTAGCTGCTGCAGAATTACAGAGGGGAGATCCTGCCCAATCTTGGATGCGTTGGTCCACTGTCCCTGTCGCTGTGGACAAGCCCAAGTCAGATGTGACTCTGACCACTGGTCATTCTCTGTCCGGAAGCTCTGGCGATCTTTTCGGCCCCGCTCTTCAGAGAGTTCATAGTGACGAGCCGAGGTCGGGGTTGCTTTTCCATCCGTCGTGTTGGGCATACGTAGGTCTTCCTAATCTAGAAATCCACGTCCTTGACTCCCGGGAAATTCGCGTGAGCTGTCTCACTGGTACTTTTCCTCTGGCGGGAACACGCCCCGTTGGGTCCCAGACCCCCCGCAGCAGCCGCGTCACTTCCGTGGATCTCTTCTTCAACTTTTGTCCCTTTGGTGTTTGCTCTGCTTTCTGAGAAATTTCGGCCCCTTGGCATCCAGCCTTTCCCTTAGCATTTTTCGTCTCCGTTGTCACGCTGATTTACAAGAACTTTGATTTTTCTCTAAACGACCTGTTTCATGCTAATCTTGCTCCTGTTCACAATCGCGGTGTCTCGTCTTTCTGAGATTATTGTCATTTTCGGCTTAGAGGTTTCCCTTGCCTTTTGTCCCCAGAGTTTCTTGTTTCCTCCAAGTCCTTATGTGGATGTTTTTCTGTCTTTCACGTTAAAGACCCCCCCCCCCCCGTGTGTCTGGGAATTCTTCCATCTGCATGAAGAGGGGGGCCTAGCGAACCAGCTGTAGCCCCTGAGGGTGGTGTAACTGGGCCTCAAGGGCACGTTAGGTCCTGTCCCAGGGGTGGTCAGACCAGCGTGGGGGGCACAGGCCCGGCGGCCGGGGTCCTGGGGGTGGAGAGACGGGAGGGGCTAGAGGACCGTCTGCATCTGGTGTGGGTGTTCTGGTCCTCTCTCAGGGTCCTGCTCCTGCCTCCCCATCTCCGCTGCCCGCGGCGTGTGTCCCTCTTTGTTACAACCCCTCCGTCGTCTTCTGAGGGAGGACATGCGTCCAGGCACGCCTGATTCTCCCGTTGCCAAACTCGCTCCGCGTCAGAGCTGTCGCTGACTGAGGTGGAGACGGGCGGGCGGCCTGCCGTCTAGAATGGGGTGTGCGTGAAAATCGGACCTCTTCTCCAGCCTTTCGATCCAGGCCTCCTTACTTTCTCCCTCCTCTCCACCGACCTGTGTGACCTGTGTGTATGCCACCAGGGAATCCCAGCCTGCCCGCTGCGGGCTGGCGGCCCTCGCCTTGGGGCCCAACTCGGCCTTGGCCGTGGCTGCGGGTCTGCTTTTCAATTCCACGCCCCACCACCCTCCTGCTCTGGCTGTGGTCTTTTCCGCTCCTCCCAGTCGTGGTTTATGACTTTTCCAAGACCTTGTCTGTTGTGGCCCTGGAGCGGGTTTGGGGAGGGAGCGAGGCGGGCGATGTCCACACGGTCACATGCGCCCGGAGGTGCCTAGAAGGGACCGTGCTTGCTTTGTTGTGGAAAGTCACGAACAAGCTGGGGCGGGGGGTAGGGGGGGTTGTGGGGAGACCAGTGGGTCCTTACTGAGGAAGAATGACAGCAAGTGCGTTCACGCAAGTTGCGTTTCGAGCAGTGAGGACGGTAACTATGGGGAAAATAAAGTAGAACGGTACTGCGAGTAGAGGTTTGACTTCTGACGTTCCTTTGTGGTTTCCAAGTGGATCTGGAAGAGGTGATCAGAAAACATGCAGAGGACCTCAACGGTAAACGTCTGAGCGACGCCGTGACCGTGAGGTTGTCGCCCGCCTCCCCGGATGTAAAGAGGACGACACATTACAGCCTGAGCCCCCAGGTCCAGGAGATGGCCAGGAAGATGGACTGGTTGAAGGACAGCCACCTCTTCCAGGTGTTCTGGGCGGAAGCCGCGAGGGCGCTGAGCGAGCCCGGGGAGGAGCTGGAAGGGCAGATACTTCAGCCCGAAGAAGCGTATAAGTATCTGTACTGCCCTTGTTTCGAGAAGTATCAGGATCTGTATGAGGATCTGAAGTCAGGAGAGATCACCTTTCAGGAGGTCAATGTCATGTTCAACGACTTTGTGAATAAATACAACAACCTCACTTTCGAGCTCCAGCTTATGTGTGCCCTGGACAGCAGCGACCAAAGAGACTGGATCGGTGACCGTGTTGGGCAGATCAGAGAGTACCATCACCTGCATCAGGCCGTCAGCTCAGCCAAGGTCATCCTGAAGGTCAAGGACAGTTTGGGCCTGACCGGTGACTTCCGTGTCCTGCACACGTTGTTGAACTTTGTAAGTTACTTGCCAGGGACCCCTGGGGTGGGGGGCTGGGAAGTTGGCGGGGTTGTCTCACGGGCTCTCTGGGTTCTCGAGGCTGGACAGGATGGTTCCACAGCCTCCCCCCAGCATTTCTTGATTGCACCTCATTCGATGCCAGATCATGCCCAGGGCCTTGTTTCCACCTTTATTTATAAACAGTGTGAGTGCCGTTGGCACCCGCTGTTTTCCCCGGTCGGCGTGAGGTTCGAGACCTGGGGGACGGGCGATGACCCTCTTTCAGTAGCCGGGGATTTGGAGGGAGTGATCTGGTCTCATGGGGCTAGAGAGGGGCTGGAGGGGCAGAAGAGGGCTTGGTTTCACCTGGCTCTGTGCGTCCCCCGGTGCCAGCAAGAAGCGGTCCGCGGCAGGCTGTCTCTGCTACGGGCAAGAACCGGGTCCCACGAGGTGTGTTCCTTCAGGCGAGCATTGACAGGGTGTCCCGTGACCTGCGGTATGGTATAGACGCTTGCGATGATGGTTAAAGTTTAGCACAAAATTTGGAATGAAAGCACACGTAACCTTGAATCCCAGCAGCGTGCTCTCGAGTAAGTCACTGCTCCAGGGGTCCGTGTCCTTACCCGCGAAGTTGGAAAAGTAGCAATTTTTGCCTGGCTGCGTTCTGGCACACGTTGCTTGGCAGAACGCCAGGCATGGGGCAGGGGTGGTTCCTGTACCGATTCCGGGGACAGCAGGGGGGTTCTGGCGTCTCGGGGACAGGGGCTCCACGTGCCTGCCTCCGGCTCCCGCCAGTGCAGGAAGGGCGGGGATGGGGCCTCCGGGCTGGTCGTCGCTACGGCTCCAACTCCAGGGCTCCAGGTAACCCCGTCCCGCGCACAGTAGAGCCTTGTCTTGCAGACGGACAACTTCAGCCAGTTCCGCCACGAGAAGCTGGACCGGATCAGCAAGCAGCTCATCCAGGCCAAAAAGCTTCTGCAGGACATCACTGAGCCCCGGTGCCAGTGTCTGAACGAGCTGTCCCTGAGGAAGGAGTTCATTAGCTGGGTCCGGGAGGCTCTCGGAGGTACGGCGGTCGGCGTCTGGAGGGAGTGTTCAGATGGCTCGTGGGGCGGGGTGGGGCGGGGGGCAAGCCCTCCACTTGCTCACGTGCTGCCTGAAGAACAGAGATGCTGTCTGAGTCAGGTCGATGCACAGCATTTGCCGCAGCGATTGCCGGCACAGTTTATTTATTTCAGGGCAGTGTTTCTTACGTTCTGGTATAGAAAGCATTTCCTCGGCTACTGTTTTCCCCCCACTCTGGATGCTTGCTGTGGACAGTGGAGGGTCATTTTCTTACAAATCCTGCTCCCTTTTGCTTTTTCCTGGGCTTGATTTTAGCTACAAAACAAGGTGAGCCCTTGTCCGCAGAGAGTTTGGATTACGTCACACTCGGTGGTGTTCTGTGTGTTCCTTTTTTGGCCAGGGGCTTGGCAGCCTTTTTCGTCTTGTGGCCTGGGCGCCTTTGGTAGAGGGGGTGCACAGAAGGGAGGAGGGGAGGTACGGAAGAGAGGTGGAGGAAGCAGGGGAGAGGGGAGGCGGCTCTGGTGTGCAGGGGGGAGGCTGTCTCTCCTCCAGAGCCCCCATGCTTGCCACCGTGGGCTCTCTGGCCCGCTTTGACGCACATCCTTTGATTTGTAAGTTGCCCGAAGAGAGGTCCTTCCATCCCTTGACGGTTAACTGTCGACACAGTATTTACCAGCTGAGCCCGCGTCTTTTTCGTGTAAGACGGTGGCGTCGTGCAGATGAAATAAAGCGAGGTTCATGGAAGCCCCGTGGGGTGCCTGGATGTCGCTGTGGTTCCGTGAGGCCAGGTGCTGAGCAGTAGTGTCGACGTCAGCTGCAAAAGAAAGATGGCCCCGGATCTGTGCTAAGAGCAGAAAGTCGATAAGCAGGACCCTGAAATTTCAGCAGTATCCGTTTATACCTCACTAAGGATCCTTGCTCGAGGTCAGAATGCCGGGCTGTCCTAGAGCCGCCCCGCACTCACCCCCTCACCTGTCTCCCTCCGCCCCAAGGCGTCCACGAGCTGAAGGTGTTTGTGGACCTGGCCTCCATCTCCGCGGGGGAGAACGACATCGACGTGGACCGGGTGGCCTGCTTCCACGATGCCGTGCAGGGCTACTCCCCGCTGCTGTACAAGCTGGACACGAGCGCGGGGTTCGACGAGTTCATGACCCATCTCGGGGAACTGTGGAGGGCCCTGAACAACGACGCATACCTGCCCCATAAGCTGGTAAGTCTTACTCCTGGCTTCATGCGAGCAGACAAAGCCGCGTGGGCGATTGCAACACCGCCAGAGGCGTGACTGCGAACTATGCCACCGGAATGACAGGGGTGGATGCGGCATTTTAAAATGATGTTTCTCTTGGGCAGACGCCTGGGTGGCTCAGTCGCTTAAGCGTCCGACTTTGGCTCGGGTCACGAGCTCACAGTCCGTGGGTTCGAGCCCCACGTCGGGCTCTGTGCTCACAGCTCGGAGTCTGGAGCCTGCTTCCCATTCCGTGTCTCCCTCTCTCCCTGCCCCTCCCCTGCTCGTGCTCTGTCTCCGTCTGTCTGTCTCTCTCTCTCTCAAAAATAAAACATTAAAAAAAAAATTTAATGGTTTTTCTTTATAGTTTAATTATTTTGAGAGAGAGAGAGTCCAGGCAAGAGTGCGGGAGGGGCAGTGAGAGAGGGAGAGAATCCCAAGCAGGCTCTGTACTGCCAGCACAGAGCCTGACGTGGGGCTTGAACTCACGAACCCTGAGATCATGACCTGAGACGAGATCAGGAGTCGGACGCTCAACCGACTGAGCCCCCTGGGAGCCCCTAAAATGATGTTTAAAACCAGTTTTACTTCATACATGGAATTGCCTTCTCTCCCTTATTACGTTAGAAAGTGTAATTCAGAATTGCATGTAAATTAAGTACAGTTCCCGTCATGCAAAACACTCATGGACAGAAGACTGACATGTGCCCAGTGTTTTTTTTTTGAATGGTAGTAACTGTTACTTAATTCTGTATATCGCTTGGTATTTTCCATGTTTTCCATAAATGGTGTAAATTAACGTTTTAAATTTATGTTTGTAAAATATATATTAATTTATATTTTGTAAGTTATATTTTGTATATATTTGTAAAATATATATTAATTTGTATTTACTTAATTCATAAGTAAGCTCTACACCCAACACAGGGCTTGAACTCAGGACCCTGAGATCAAGGGTCACATGCTCTACTGGCTGAGCCAGCCAGGTGCCCCTAGAAATCCATTTTTTATCAGAAAGAAAATGAACGTGGGGCCCCTGGGTGGCTCAGTCAGTGAAGCATCCGACTTCAGCTCAAGTCCTGGTCTCTGTTTGTGGGTTCGAGCCCCACGTCGGCCTCTGCGCTGACAGCTCGGAGCCTGGAGCCTGCTTCGGATTCTGTGTCTCCCTCTCTGCCCCCACCCCATGTTGTGTCTCTCTCTGTCTCAAGAATAAATAAAACTTTGAAAAAAAATCTTTAAAACGAACGTGGTAGTTTAAGTAAACCACGTGCACCAGGGTTCGAGCAGACCCACACCGCATCACGTGGCTAGTCTGCAGAGGCCATGTCTGGCCAGCCGCAACCACGGAGGGTGAGGGAGGAAAGGGGAAACAGAAGGACAGGTCGAGGCATCTCCGTTTCTACTGCTGGAAGCTTACTTGCCCACAAAACATCTCCGTCATCGTTTCTCCTTAGTGCTTCCGGTTGGACTTGGGGTCCCCAGAAGCACACGGAGAACGTAAGGCCACAGTGCCCTTGCTCCATCCGGCCTCACCCCCGCCTGGGGGCCCGGGAGAACCAAGCCTTCCCCCGTCCCGTCCACGTGCCCCCGCGTGCTAGCCAGGGCACACTGGCCACGGGTGGGGACACGGACAATCAGCCCGTTAGAAAAAAGGCAACACTGTGGGGCAGTGACCCGAGCAGGACAGGTGAGAGGACAGCGGGTGAGGAAAGCCTCACCCAGGGCGACTGCACTCCCAGCGGGACATGGGGAAGAGGGGCTTACACTGCGGGAGCAGAGGAGGGGGACCACGGGAAGAAGAGAAAGAAGGTGTCCCTCCTGTCCCAACAGTGTGACTCTGCCAGGAACTTAGAGTGGCTGAAAACGGTGAAGGAAAGTCACGGTTCAGTAGAGCTCACTTCCCTGTCTCTGGCAACGGCCATCAATGACAAAGGCTGCTATATCATCAGGGCCCCCGCAGATGGCCAAAAGGTGAGCCACCCCACGTCCCGGCACTGCTGTGACCTGTATGGGCTGCTGTCACTGGGGGGGGGGGGGGGGGGGGGGGGGGGGGGGGGGGGGGGGGGGGGGGGCGTTCTGCCTCCAGAAAACCAGCTTCTGCACTGGCACTTGCCTCCAGATCTCCCCAGACACGGTTCTACAGTTATCCCTTCCCGAGAGCCACGGAGGCCGCGAGGAGACGCGAGACTTCTCTTTGGAGGAGCTCAAGGAGCTTTTGAACAAGCTGATGCTGATGTCTGGCAAGAAAGATCACAGCAATGTTCAAGTAGAGATATTTTCCAAGGTGAGGACTCTCACTGCCCGCGGGCCGGACAACTCAGGAGGGTCTGAGTTGGCATTAAGTGATAGGAGGCACTCCACTTTAAATCTTTGGGGGGGGGTGGGGGGGGACAGCGGGCCTGCAGAATGCAGGAACCCGAATTCAAGACGCCAAGAGATGTCTAAGCCATGACGGGCCCGTTCGGTCGGTGGTCCCGTCTTAAGGTGCGCAGGCTGAATGGTCTGTTAGTTCTGTGCGTCGCAGGGGAGACGGCCGGCGGAGGGGTCCCAGAAGGAGACTTCTGTTGCTTCGGTCGCTGTGAATCAGCAAGAACCCCCCAATACCAGAAGATTTAGATCGTAGCTCTTGGTCAAAATTAAAAGCGAACATACCGTTAAAGGAGTTTCCGTTTACGTAACAGCCCCTGGCCTCTGTCAAGGGTTTTTTCTTTCAAGGCTATTTGTACCTTATGCCAATAGCCTTTATCCTCAAGAGAGTCCCCTCGGGAGGCTGATTACGTAAAGAGGAGATAAGGCCTCCGCGGCGAGCCCCGCGTGTCCGAGGCCGCGCCGGGAAGCGTGCAAAGGCCCGAACCCGAGGGGTGCTTCCCCCTCGACTCCCGCGTCGCCCGTGACACGGCTCCCGCTTCTGTTCACCACAGGTGTTCTGCAACGTGCAGAGGCTCGTGGAGTCCTTCATAAACCTATACACTGCCGGGAACATGCTGTTCAGAAACTGGACGGCCCAGGTGCACTGCTCCCCTCGACACGGCGTCTCCATCCAGATGGACTTCCGCCTGGAGCCTGTGGTCCAGCTCAAGGGCAGCGGCTCGGTAGCAGAGCTCTTGGAGGCCGTCAGCAGGCAGCTGGAGCAGTTCCTGGACCGCTGGGAGGCCTTCGTGGCGGAGAAGCGGGCCAAGCACTTTTACCTCAACTACTACACCGCCGAGCAGCTGGTGTACCTGAGCACGGAGCTCAAGAAAGCGACGCCCAGCGACGCCGCCCTCACCATGCTGTCCTTCATCAAAGGCAACTGCACCCCGAAGGACGTCGCGAAGGCCCTCAGGGAGCCCCGCGGGGAGGCTGCCAGGCACGAGGAGAAGACGGTGATCCAGGGGCTGCAGGTGATGCTCCTGCGGGAGCTCAGCCTGGCGGGCAAGCTGAGGGCCGTCCTGGAGCAGTCGCTGGCGTGCATGAGCGCCTTCCTGCCCCACTGCCTGGACCTGGAGGCCCTCGGCCGATGCCTGGCCCTCCTGGGGTGGATGCGCGGGTGCCCCGTGGAGCGCCAGCTGCCCAAGGGCCTGCACGTCGGCCGGCCCAACCTCATCGTCTGCGGCCACTCCGAGGTCTTGCTGGCCGCGCTGGCCATCTACATGCACACCCCGCAGCAGCCCCTGCCCACCTTCGACGAGGTGCTGCTCTGCACCCCGGCAACCACCTTGGAGGAGGTGGCTCTGCTCCTGCGTCGCTGCTTGACCCCGGGCTCCCGGGGGCAGGGCGTCTACAGCCTGCTGTACGCAGACCTGCTGAGCTACGAGGTGGCCAGCCAGGCGGAGGCCCTCTTCCTGAGCCTGTGCTCACAGCCGCACCACGAGGACTTCCAGCTGGTGATGGTGTGCGACAGCGAGCGGGAGCACTGTCACCTGCCCTCCGCCTTCAGCCAGCACAAGGTCCTGGTCACCCCCCAGGCGCCCCTGCAGGACATCCAGGCCTACCTGGCGCAGCACTTCCAGGTCCCTGCGCACACGCCGTCGGCCGCCGACGTGTTCCGGGACCGGACGTGCGTGGGCATCGTGGCGTCCAAGCGCGCGGGCGTCGGTAATGACCGCTCCCGGGGTGGGCGGGCCCCTCGGGTCGCGGGGGCCATCTGACGGGCCCTTCCCCCTGCACCGGGGGGGGGGGGGGCGGCTCGGATGGAGCCCTCTGTAGGCAGGGACACGGAGTCTCAGGGAGGTTTTGGCTCTCTGAGGTTGTGAATCGGGGCGATGGTTTGTTTCACCCGTTCCACATTTTGCACAGAGAAGCGACTTGCAACAAGTCTTCCTGGTCCACGGTCCTGCCGCCTGATTTCCATACTCTAACGTTTCAGGGAAGTCTCTCTATGTGGAGAGATTGCACAGCAAACTGAAGATGAAGCTCAGAGGAGAAAACGTGCCCCTTAAGGTCATCCGATTGATCGACCCTCAGGTGGATGAGAACCAAGTACTGAGTTCCCTCCTGCCTTTCTTGAAGGCCCGCTATCAGACCAGACCCATGATATTCCACTTTGATGTGACCTCTTCGGTAAGTGCCCCGGGGTCTTGGTCGCGCGGCCGCTTCGGGAAAGTCAGCGTCCTCTTCCCACGCGTATTGATACTCAGTATCACCGCGTCCAAGGACCGAGCACTACAGTCCCCGGGGCTGGGAGGACGGGCCGTCTTCTGTCTAAGCACTCCTACACCTGCGTGATTCTGTCTTTAGGTGCAGACCGGACTTTGGGTGTTCATTTTCAGACTCCTCATCCTGCAGTACTTAATGGATATAAATGGGAAAATGTGGCTCCGGAACCCGTGCCATTTATACATCATTGAAATCCTGGAAAGGACCCCAGCAATGCTCAAGACGCCTTCCAAACGGGTGTGTACCACAGGGCATTTTCACGTCTCTGCACCGGTACGCCCACTGCTCCCTTAGCGAAGCAGCTGAGCACGGTGTTAGTAAAGACAATTCAGTCTTTAAAATTATTTTTCTAATAATGTCTGGAATGAAAATACCGTCATCTGTTAGCAGTATCTTATGTTTGTTTTGTTCACTTCGGGATTCATGCTGTTGGCGTTAAATGCCAGCAGTGCTCGCAATGCAGTAAGTTCGTCTGCTGGACACGGTCCGTCTTTCTTAATGCCAGCCAAGATGGGAAGGAGGCTTTTGTCATGTACATTTCTTTTTTTGAGAGAGAGAGAGAGAGAGAGAGAGAGAGAGAGAGAGAGAGACAGCATGTGCAAACTGGGGAAGGGCAGGGAGAGAGGGAGAGCAAGAATCTCAAGCAGGCCCTATGCTCAGTGCAGAGCCCAACATGGGGCTCGATCCCACAACCCTGGGATCATGACCTGAGCTGGATGTTCAGCTGACTGAACCATCCAGGCGCCCCCTGTCGTGTACATTTCTAAACGAAAGGGTGGGCATCTTGCACACGCGTGTGCACGCGCACACACACGTGCTTAATAGAGATTTTGTTTCAGGGGGCGCCTGGGTGGCTCAGTCAGTTGAGCGCCCAACTTCAGCTCAGGTCATGATCTCACCGTTGGTGGGTTCGAGCCCCGCGTCGGGCTCTGTGCTGATGGCTCAGAGCCTGGAGCCTGCTTCAGATTCTGTGTCTCCTTCTCTCTGTGTTCCTCCCCTGCTCGTGCTCTGTTTCTCTCCCTCTCTCTCTCTCTCTCTCTCTCTCTCAAAAATAAATAAAGATTAAAAAAAAATTTAGAGATTCTGTTTCAAGAAGTCGGGTAGAAAAGACTTAGCAGCTGAGAAGGTAAGTTCCCACGATGCCTCAGCATACAAAAGAAAGCAGTCTCGTGTACAAAGGAGGCTGCGGAAATCAGTTGACGCAAAGTAGTTGCTCATAAAGGCCCGTCTGGTGCAGACCGCGTGAAGGGTTAAGGTGCAGAACGATGGTTCGGAAAATGGAGCCATACGCGTTTTCTTTGTGTCCCCCTTTCCAGAGTACGCACGGCCCCCAGTTCAGTTTTCTCGACATCTTCCCAAGAGTCACCTGCCGGCCTCCCAAGGAAGTGATCGATATGGAGCTGAATCCCGAGGAGAACTCCAGAGATCCGGGGATGGACCAGGGCGTGTTCCAAAGCGAGACTTTCCAGAGGCCTTACCAGTATCTGAGACGGTTCCACCAGAAAGAAAACCTGGACTCGTTCCTGTACCAAGAAGGCTGTGTGGAAGGCACCCCTACGGAATGCCTGCAGTATTTCCTGATCTACTGCGGGGTGATAGATCCATCGTGGTCAGAGCTCCGGAACTTTGCCGGGTTCCTCAATTACCAGCTCCGAGATTGCGAGGGTTCCCTCTTCTGCAACCCAGACGTAACTGGAGACACGCTGGGGGGCTTCAAGAACTTTGTGGTCACCTTCATGATCTTCATGGCAAGAGATTTCGCCACACCAACCCTTCACACGTCCGACCAAAGCCCCGGGAGGTACGCGGTCCCCATGGATGGGGTCAGGGAAGAAGATCTCGCCCCTTTCACTCTCCGGAGGAGGTGGGAGTCCGAGCCTCACCCGTACGTGTTCTTCAACGGCGACCACACGTCCATGACATTCATAGGCTTCCACATCCAGCCCAACCAGAACGGCAGCCTTGACGCGGTGGATCTCTCCAGCAGGACAGTCATCAAGAAAGACGTCATGGCGATGGAACTGTACCGGGGGCTGTCACTCCAGAGGGTGCCCTTCAACGTTGACTTTGACCAGCTGCCCAGGCATGAGAAACTGGAAAGGCTGTGCCTGGCATTAGGGATCCAGTGGCCCACGGACCCCGATGAAACCTATGAGCTCACCATGGACAACATGCTTAAGATCCTTGCCATCGAGATGCGGTTCCGGTGTGGGATCCCCGTTATCATCATGGGGGAGACCGGCTGCGGGAAAACCAGACTCATTAAGTTCCTCAGCGACCTGCGGCGTGGGAGCACCCAAGCTGAAACCATGAAGTTGGTCAAGGTCCACGGAGGAACGACGGCAGAGATGATCTACTCCAAAGTCCGGGAGGCCGAGGAACTCGCTGTCTTCAACAAGGAGCAGCATCAGCTGGGCACCATCTTGTTTTTCGATGAAGCCAACACAACGGAAGCCATAAGCTGCATCAAGGAAGTCCTGTGCGATCGTACCGTGAACGGCCAGCCCCTGGCCAAGGACTCGGGCCTGCACATCATAGCCGCCTGCAACCCTTACCGGAAGCACTCGCAGGAGATGATCAGCCGTTTGGAGGCGGCCGGTTTGGGGTACAGGGTCCGCTCGGAGGACACGGCGGAGAAGCTTGGCTCCACCCCTCTCCGGCAGCTGGTGTACCGGGTCCACGCTCTGCCGCCGAGCCTCATCCCCCTGGTGTGGGACTTCGGCCAGCTGAATAACACCGCCGAGAAGCTCTATATCCAGCAGATCGTGCAGAGGACGGTGGACTCCGTCGGGGTGGACGAAGCCCAGATCCGGGCCATCACGGAGGTGCTTTCCGCCTCGCAGAGCTTCATGAGGAAGAGAGGAAACGAGTGTGGCTTTGTCAGCCTCAGGGACGTGGAGCGCTGTGTCCGAGTCTTCATGTGGTTTTGCGAGCACCGCGTGATGCTCCTGTCCCAGCTGCACGCCTTCCTCTGCAGGGCCAACGTGGACCAAAGCGGCTTCGAGAGAGATCCCGTCCTCTGGTCCCTGGTGCTGGCCCTCGGGGTGTGCTATCACGCCTCCTTAGAACAGAAGGAGTCCTATTGGAAGACCATCTGCAGGCTCTTTCCGGAACCCTACAGCGACAGCAAGGTCGTCCTGGAGGAGATCACTCGAACGCAGGATCTCTTCCTGGATGGCGTGTCTTTGCGCAAAACCATCGCCAGGAACTCGGCTTTGAAAGAGAACGTCTTCATGATGGTCATCTGCATCGAGCTGAAGATTCCTCTCTTCCTGGTGGGGAAGCCCGGCAGCTCTAAATCTCTTGCCAAGACCATTGTGGCGGATGCCATGCAAGGCCCGGCGGCCCACTCAGACCTCTTCCGCAACCTGAAGCAGGTCCACCTGGTGTCGTTCCAGTGCAGCCCCCACTCCACCCCGCAGGGCATCATAAGCACCTTCAAGCAGTGCGCCCGCTTCCAGCAGGGCAAGGACCTGCAGGAGTACGTGTCCGTGGTGGTGTTGGACGAGGTGGGGCTGGCCGAGGACTCGCCCAAGATGCCCCTGAAGGCGCTGCACCCGCTGCTGGAGTACGGCTGCATCGAAGACCATCCTGCCCCCCACCAAAAGGTTGGCTTCGTAGGCATTTCCAACTGGGCCCTGGACCCCGCCAAGATGAACCGGGGCATCTTTGTGTCGCGCGGCAGTCCCAGCAAGAAGGAGCTCATGGAGAGCGCCAAGGGTATCTGCTCCTCGGAGCCCCTGGTTCAACAGAGAGTGCAGGGCTTCTTTGCGCCCTTTGCCAGAGCCTATGAAACGGTGTGCAGGAAGCAAGACAAGGAGTTCTTCGGGCTCCGCGACTACTACAGCCTCATCAAGATGGTCTTCGCCAGGGCGAAGGCTTCTGATAAAGAGCCTTCCCCGCAAGACATCGCGCAGGCCGTCCTCCGCAACTTCAGCGGCAAAGACGACATCCACGCGCTGGACATTTTTATGGCCGCCTTGCCCGAGGCGAAGTGCTCAGAGGCGGTCAGCACCATACAGCTGATCGAGCAGAACATGTGCGGCCGCCTCCAGAAGGCGGCGGGCGGGGAGCCGGACGAGGCCGAGTCCCGCTACCTGCTCGTGCTGACCAGAAACTACGCGGCCCTCCAGGTCCTGCAGCAAATGTTCTTCAGGGACGACCAGCAGCCGGAGATCATTTTCGGCTCCAGCTTTCCCCGGGACCAGGAGTACACCCAGATCTGCAGGAACATCAACCGGGTGAAGATCTGCATGGAGACCGGCAAGACGGTGGTGCTGCTCAACCTCCAGAGCCTCTACGAGAGCCTGTACGACGCGCTCAACCAGTACTACGTCTACCTGGGAGGCCAGAAGTACGTGGACCTCGGGCTGGGGACCCATCGGGTCAAGTGCCGGGTCCACCCCGACTTCCGGTTGATCGTCATCGAGGAGAAAGACGTCGTCTACAAACAGTTCCCCATCCCTCTCATCAACCGGCTGGAGAAGCACTACCTGGACATCAACACCGTTCTGGAGAAATGGCAGAGAAGGGTCGTGGAGGAGCTCAAGGCCTGGGTGGAGAGGTTCGTGGATGTGAAAGCTCCGCACTTTGCAGGCGGACACAGATACAGCCCTTCCGAAGTCTTCGTCGGGTACCACTCGGACGCTTGTGCCTCTGTGGTGCTGCAGGTCACGGAGAGGCTAGGCCGCGGGGCCTTGACCGACGAACTTTACCAGAGGGTGTGCGAGGAGGCCAAGTCGATACTGCTGGGCTGTGCCACGCCGGACGCCGTGGTCCGCCTGGGCGCTTCCTCCCTGGGCCTGTTCACCGCCCAGGCGCTGTCTCGGGAGTACTATCACACGCAGCAGCACAGCTCCTTTGCGGACTTCCTCCGGGCCCAGCTGCGCACGGCGGACCCCGAGCACCACCTGGAACGCCGCATCGTCTTCACGGAGGTGATTGTCTCGCTACGCTTTTACCCTGGTCCCCTTTCACCCCAGAGGCCTTGGATCCCTAGGGTCCAGAATTCAGGACTCCTTTCAAGGCAGCGCATAGGAGGGGCGCCTGGGGGGGCTCGGTCGGTTGGGCGTCCGACTTCGGCTCGGGTCACGATCTCGCGGTCCGTGAGTTCGAGCCCCGCGTCGGGCTCTGTGCCGACAGCTCGGAGCCTGGAGCCTGTTTCGGATTCTGGGTCTCCCTCTCTCTCTCTGCCCCTCCCTCTCTCATGCTCTGTCTCCCTCCCTCTCTGTCAAAACTAAGTAAACGTTAAAAAAAAAAAAATT